CTGAAAGTTATTTTAATCAGGGCAAAATTTGTAGTGGGCAATAATTTTACCTAACTGTCCGTGGAGGAGCCTGTTAAAAGCCAATCTTTTCTCTACTTTTTTTAAGAACAATATATAGGGTGACCAGAAAGTTGTGGTTCCATTACAGTGTCTAATAAGTCTTAAAGAAATGATGAAGAAATAAAGTAATTATTATTGAAATAAATGGAATCACAACTTTTTGGTCACTCTGTATATAGTATAAACCACTATACCCTGAGTATCTGCAGTATGCTGCAGCATTACTGTCCCCATAAATATGATCCATTCTGTGTCATTCAGGTATAATTTACTGATTCAGATTTGTTTTAAAAAGACTTCTTTCGGTATTAATTTCAATATTAAAGCAGAATTTCAATGTTACAGCTTATCTGCCCATTAACAGATGAGCAGCACCCTCTGCTGTACATATTCATATATTTCAGGCAAAAAAAATAATCCTTCACCTTGTCATGTTGTTAAAATGTTTCAAAGCACTTCTCAGGGTTTTCTGTAAAGTGCAATGAGGGTGCAACTCTAGACAAATTTAGGAACCAATTTGGTACAGCAATGTCCCAAAAACAGCCATGAAGCGAATCGCCAATTTTATCTGGGAAATTGTTGGCCAGCATAGGAAGGAGAAACAACAACAATAACTTGCATTTATATAGCACCCTTCATGCGGAGAAGCATCTCAGAGCACTTAACAAAGCTTGATGCCAAACCAGGGAGAGGGGGTAGGTGGCCGTAGGCATGGTCGAAGAGGAAGGTTTTCAGGTGTGACCTGAAGGTAGGGAGCCAATGGAGCTGTCAAGGACTGTGGTGATGGGGTTTGGTATGGGTGAGGATATGGGCAGGTGGAGTTTTGAATTAATTGGATTTAATGAACGGTGGAGCTTGGGAGAGCGGCAAGGAGGGCATTGGAATAATCAAGGTGGGAGGTGATAAAGATGGATAAGAGTTCCAGCTCTTTGGGTGTGAGGTACAGATGTAGTTGGGCAATGTGGATGAAGTGGAATAATGCAATCCTGGTCAGGATGTAGGGTAGGAGGAGAAGCTGGGGATCGAACCTGATGCCAAGGTTAGGTACATGTTCAGTAAATCTGAGGGATAGGCTGGGGAGGTTAAGGAAGTCGGAGTCGCAGGTGAGAAGATGTTGACAGAGCCAAGAAGTATGGCTTCTATCTTGTCAACATCCATCTGCAGAAAGTTATCTTCATTCCAGGCCCTGATGTCTGACAACCAAACTGACAGAACATCGGCGAACCTGGTTGTAGCTGGAGGAACAGAAGTAGATATGGGTGTCGTCCGCATATATGTGGAAGTTGTCTGGGATGAGTGACATCATCGAGAGGAAGCATGTAAATGAAGAAACAAGGGGAGCCAAGGATGGAGCCTTAGGGTACACCACAGGTGACGTTGCAGGGAATGGAGGAAAAAACGTTGGCAAAGTTATAGTGATAATGGCAGGTCAAGTAGGACTGAAATCAGGAGAGTGCTGTCCCACTAAGATGGATGAAGCAGTAGAAATGGAGGAGAAGGATGGCATGATCAACTGTGTTGAAGGAAGCATAGAGGGTCAGGAGGACAAGGAAACAGAGAGAGGCCTGGTCACAGAAACTCCCTTAGAATTGTGCCTTGGGATCTTTCAGACCACCTAAACAGACAGAGAAGATTCTAGTTTAACAACTCATCCAAAGGCAGCACCTCCAACAATGCAGCATTCCTACAACCTTTTAACCAGTGATGAGTGCCACAAATAATCATAATCCCTGCATTTGATATAGTGCTTTATCATGTCATTGAGACAGAATATACTGTAAAGTGGATTGACTGTGTATTTTGTGGGAGAAATGCGGCAGCTAATTGTACACAGCAGTATCCCACAAACAGTCATGGATTGAGTGACCAAATTATTTATTTATTTTGAAGAGATGGTTATCCCCAGGGGGCAATTCTCTAGTCGACTAACAACCAGGTTCCTACTTACTGCTAAACATAGGTATATGGAGTAAGAAAACTTGCCTAATGTTTCGCCTTGCCTGGAATCGAACCCGGGTCCTCTCATTTGTGAGGCGAGCGCTCTACTTAATTTGCTACAGATCAACTGTAAAGATACATATCAACTGTAAAGATACGTATCAACTGTAAAGACAATTTTTACAGTTGATATAGCACCTTTCACACCAGAAGGACATCTCAGTGTAGGCCAGGTTGATATGTCATTAACGCTTGCAGTGAACTACTGATAAAAGCCCCCGGCTTTAACTTGCCACGATCACTATCAACAACAACAACTTGCTATTTGTATAGCACCCTCCATGCAGGGTAGCGTCTCAGATAGCTTAACGGTGAGATAGGGGTAGGTATTTGCTCTGGGAAAGTATGCGGGCAGCAGAGTTCTAATTGAGCTGGATTTTTTGAAGCTGGGGAGACCGGCGAGGAGTACATTTGAGTAATCCAGGCGGGAGGTAACAAACATATGCACGAGGGTTTCGGCTGCATTTGGGGTAAGATATGGTCGGAGGCAGGAAATAATAATAATGTGACAGGATAGGATGGGAGGCCACGCCATGACCCTCCCAATAGACCAGAGGCCTCTGCGAAGCATCTGAGCATGTGCGCCAAGGGCCTGCACCAGTCACAGGCCCCTTCTGGTAGCTAGATGACCTATGTCTAACTAATCTCTAGTCCAACTAGTATTATTAATAACAATAATGTCTCATAATAATAATAACTTGTCGCTGAGCCCTTTTCCCTTGGGTGATGAGTTACCCTGACTTTACTGTTCTTTGTTCTGAATAGAGTGCAAAGAGCTGGTGTATGACCGAGACAGAGACAGAGACAGGCTGTAAGAGGACTGGTCTTGAGAGACACGTATTTGGGACGAGTGAGTCAACTGTAAAGGGGATAATGTGAGCTGGCTATGTGATCCTTCAGGAAGCTTTCTAATGGTTTGACTTGTAGAGCTTGTTTGTAGTGAGCTCACTGGGGAAGAAGCTGTAACTTTATATCACTTAATACCCATCGGGGAATTTCATCTTTTTATAAGATAATATGAGCCAGTCTCTGGAGGTAAAGGATGACTCAAGGCTGGCGGAGGGGGATGGGAGGCATAGCTTCTTGCATCATCTAATAGCGAGATCTATTGGCAATTTCAGTACAGAAATACAATGGCTCTTGAGTTTGCGACACTCGCTTTTCAATTTCAACGCGTTTATGTTAGTTTAATTTTTTTTAAATAAATCTTAACCGCGATCACACAATCTCCGAAACATTTCAGAAAGTTACTGTCATCTGGCGTTTTAAGCACTAGGTTTGAAAGGCGGGGTGAACCAACAGATCCCTTTTCCATCTGTTGCACTCATTCAGCTTACACAGCTTTAGGTTGTTGATGGAGTTCAACTGGCTTGGCCTCATTGTAGCAGATCTGCTACTGTCATAAACCCTATTCGGAGAACTTTGCACTCAGGTAGCCCAATAGTATAATAATAATACGTCTCAAAATAAAAATAATGAGACGACTCAAAGTGAGTCATAGAATATATTGTAAAGTGAATTGACTGTATATTTTGTGGGCGAAACAAAATGATAATAAGCAATATTTTTATTTTTAATCCAAGTCTATTAGATTTTAAGATGAACCCACTACTCAGTAGGAAATTATTTTCTTTCACTTATACCACATGCCTGCCAGGTCCCAGGAGTCTGTGAGGGGGAAGTGATAGCCTTGGACAGTGAAGAAACCATAACATTTTCTGTCATCTTACCAATCATTCCTTTGTATCAGTTCTATTGCAACGCACACTGACTGGTTAAATTGTACACTGTGTTTCTAATATTTAGTCATTTGCTTTGGCTGGCGTTGACCTTCAGAGAACTCCTTTATCCTTGATTTCCAGTTGTATCACTCCAAGCTTATCAACAATTCCCCAGTCAATCACTTCAAAGCTGATTGTGGGACGTTGATGTGCACAAATTTGCCTATAAAACACACAGTCATTACACTTTACAGTGAATTTGAGACCTCCTCCTGACATGACAGGCGCCATGTCGAATGCAAGGATTATTATTTCTCATAAAACAATCTTGCTGATTGCTGGGTCTGGTGCTTGCAATAGGTATTTCAGTACTGCCCACAGCAGAGTGTACTGCATCCCTGGCTCTATCTGTGGAGAGAAACAGGTTTCCATGGTGATCGCTGGAGCTGCATGGCTGTTTTACAGAAATTGCAAGGAATGCAGTTTTAATGGAAATGATGATTTATTCTACCAAAGCATTCATCTGAAGCCAGAAATCAAAAAAGCTATCAGTGAGATCATAGGTCAAAAAAGGTTCAGTTTGGGCTGAGTTAGCTGAGTCATCTAAGCAGTTGGAAGCTCAACTGTGCTCCTCTGTACCAGGATTCCAGGTCCTGATCCGAATCCGAAGTGCCAGGCCATGAATTGATTTGAAAGTGAGAGTGAGGATCTTGAAATCAATCTGTTCAATAACAGTTTTATATAGATATATATGTATATATACTGTAGCACTTTTCACATTGGGAGAACGTCTCAATGTGTTTCACAGTGCTAGCCGACAACCAAGAGCACGGTCAAAAAGACAGGTCTTAAGGCTGGCTTTAAAAGTGGGGAGGGAGTGAGTGAGATGGAGGGGCTCTGGGATGCAAGAGATAGAGGGATTCCAAGATGGAGTTCCAGAGAATGTCTGAAAGCTTGCCCAATGATGGTGGGCTGGGTTGGGCAGGGGACACAACGCAAAAAAAATGTTCACATAGCAGAGGTAGTGGCCGGGATAATAGAGTTGCAGGGAGTCACAGCGGTAGGTTGGTGCAAGGACTCATTCCCGTGCTGCTAACTCGTTTCCTGTGTGCCTGTGAACAAAACTGGCAAACTTTCAGGTCATCGGGTCAGCATCAATACCACTTCCTTTTGTAGCGTATGTGGCTGAAACTGAACAAAAATGCTTGTGATGTGTTGCAGATCCGAAATGCTGCCGCCAATCGATGTGTGGACAGCAAGCACGGAGGCACAGGGACCGAACTGAGGATGGACGCGTGCATCAAGGACGGCTCGGAACGCACATGGTCACATGAACAGGTATCACAGAGGGAAGGATTATTCAGGCTAACCTCAACCAATAAATGTTAACCTGCATCGAAACAATGCATCGAAACCTTGCTGAGCACAAAATCAGTCATTGTTACATAACACCTTGACAGTGCAATTTCCTGACTTTAGTGACTTCCATTTGATAGACCTGAGGCCTGGTCTTAGGCTGTAAGACTGCTTCATCTCAAAATTTAAGATTGCACAGAATAGTGGAACCTCCTTAAATTCAGTCTTAGTTTTGAAGCTGCTTCTTTTTAAGAACTATGGGAAACCGGCTCTGAAAAATTGAGGTGACTAAGCCAGCAGTTTTGAGCGCTTCAGGGCACCCTCCCGATGCGAAGGGCTACATAAATAAAAACTGTATTGTGCTGCATTAAGACATGTAAGAATTTTCTGCTAAGACGAAACAGGTGAAATTTAAGACATCAAATATTTTATTGGAATAATTGCACCCTTCTGACCTGCTCTACACCCAGAAATCTAGTAGCTGAGATGTATTGAGGGGAGGGGAGAGAAGAGATATGGTAAAGGCTAATATTTAGGTGGGTCAGGATTTCACCTTTCTTATCTCTTTTCCACTATTTTTTGGCCACAAGTTGCAAATACAAACGCTGATCAAACCGATTTGGAGTTTCTTATCTGTACATTCAAGCTTGGGCTGTTTTATTGCCAAAGTAAACAAACTCTGAAAGAGAACAAGCATTAGGCTCATTGCACCATTGCTCCAGGAAGTCATGCCAAGGCATAGTAAGCCATGGGTTCACGCTTCAGTTTCCCTGAGCAGTTTCTGTTCTTCGTAATAAATAATCCTTACATTTGGCATAATGCCATTATAGAAAAGCAGAAAGAGAAAAGAAAATTAATTATTGCCACCCCTGAACTACTGAAGAACCTCCCAGAGGCCAGCTCAGGTAATAATACTAATAATTCTACTATTAATAATAATAAAAATAATCCTTGCATTTGATATAGTGCCTTATCAAATCTTTGAGACGTCTCAAAGTGCTTAAATAATTATTTGGGGAGGACAAGTTTGCAGGGCAATGGGGAGCGAGCAGGGGAGTGGGATTGAATTGGAAAGCTCTTTTAAAAGAGCCGGCACAGACACGATGGGCCGAGTGGCCTCCTTCTGTGCTGTATAATTCTCTGATTCTCTGATGATTCACAGAATATACTGTAAAGTGAATTGACTGTATATTTTGTGGGCGAAACGCTGCAGCTAATTGCGCACAGCAGTGTCCCACAAACAGTCGTGGATTGAGTGACCAAATTATTAGTCTTGTTTTATTTTTTGAAGGGATTATTATCCCTGGAAAGCGATCCGCCAAACAACTAACAATCGGTTTCCTTATTCCACTACAAAAGCGTGTGGAGTAAGGAAACTTGTCTGATGTTTGCCTTGCCCACGAATCACACCCAGGTCCTCTCGCTTACAAGGCGAGTGCTCTAACCACTGAGCTACAGGGTAGAGTAATCCACCTGCTCTTTGTCTCTGTTCAGGAAGTTTTTATGGTTCTGGGAAACCTAAAAAGGGGAGAAGGATATAACAACAACAACTTGCATTTACATTCATGCGGGGTAGCACCTAGGAGCACTTCACAGTGGCGGAATCGGCCGGCCAGAGGAAGGAGGTGACCGTAAACATGGTCGAAGAAGAAGATCTTCAGGCACAATCTAAAAAAGGGAAGGAGGGGCAAGGTGGAGAGATTGAGGGAGAGAGTTTTGGGGGCGTAGTGGCTGTGAACGCAATATAGCCCTGTTATAACCCAGTTATTGGTGTCTATAAAACGAAAGACTGCACGTCATATTGTTGCCGCTTGAGTTCCCAGGGTCACCATTGATATTGCACAGTCCTGCTGCACAAAACCAGCCGCGCTGATTTCAGCTGTTCCACAGGTTTGCTGTGTTACTGCAGTAAGACCAAACCGTGGATATACTGAAGCCTGTTCAAAAATAATAAAATAATAATAATGCTTGCATTTGATAAAGCGCCTTATCACATCATTGAAACGTCTCAAAACTCTTCACAGAATATAATGTTAACTGAGTTGCCTATATATTTTGTATAGAATATAATTATATTAATAATAATACAATAATAATAATTGTTTATAATAAGGCTTGCTAATAATTATTGGTAAATTGGTGCATTGCTAATAGTTAGAGGATAGGAATCCCCAGCGTCTTTGCTGGTAAATCCACTGTTCAATGTGATACTTAGCCATACACAGCAGGGAGGTCCTCGGTCAAACATCAGCCTGTGCTGAGTTATTGGGTCTCTGCCAAGGAGGTTCTAAAGTCCTATAATTATGTTAATGATATTTTGCTAAGGAAGGAAATAATTAACCAGGAATTTGTTTCTTGGTCGAAAGTGCACACTTATGAACATTGGTTGAAGATAGGATAAAGCTTTGGTTGAAGATCCCAGGTCTATACAGCCTGATAATCGCCTTGGGACATCCTTCCGATGTGAAAAACGCTATACAAATGTGCTTTTGTATTGTATTGATAACGCTGGCTGTTTATGGTGGCCCAAAGAACTATAGAACCATAGAAATTAAAGCACAGAATAATAATAATAATTCTTGCATTTGATATAGCACTTCCACAGGTGTCCTGGCCAATAATCCTCTAGATACAAATTGGTCATTCACTTCATGGCTGTCTGTGGGACACTGCTGTGCGCATATTGGCTGCCATATTCATCTATAAACTATGCAGTAATTCTTGGGAAGCACTTTGAAATGTTGCAGTAATGTGATAGGGTTCTATATTAAATGCAAGAATTTGTTTTAACTGGGTGTCTAACTCATGCAGAAACCCATCACCAAGTTTAAGAGTATCCAAACCAGACTGAGAGGGCCACATACATATGTCACCCACACGTGGAAATTTTCCCGTGCGTTAAAATGGGAAATGCACTCTCTCCCTAAATTCTTAACCCAATCAATGCAATAATCTTGTGGGGAACATCGCACTTTTCACTCACATTTCCAGAAAGTACAATCTGGAGTCCTGTAGCATGTTGGTTAGCGCTTTTGCCTCATAAGCAAGAGAACCCAGGTTCAATTCCCGGGCAGGCAAAACATTAGGCAAATTTCCCTACTCCACACACCTCTGTTTACCTAGCAGTAAGGAGGACCTAGCTGATTACCTAGCAGTAGTAACAACCTAACAACCTGGTTGTTAGTTGATTGGTAGGTTGCTCTCTGATAGGCGTAATGATTCCTCGAAAAAACATTTGGTCATTCAATCAACGACTGTTTGTGGGACACTGCTGTGATCAATTGTCTGCTGTATTTCGTCCATAAAATACGCAGTCAATCCACTTTATAATATATTCTGTCAAGCGCTTTGAGATGTCTCAATGACATGATGAGGCGCTATTTCAAATGCAAGCATTATTATTATAAAGCAATTCTCAGTGGTGTTCTCAGTAACTCGCTGTTGCCACCAGATGGCAGCAAGCTGCCCTCCATTTGCTTCCCCTCCCCCACACACCAACCAACTAGCACTGCAAAGACCATGATGGGCAAGAATATCCCAGTCTGCAAAATGTGCCTTTAATCCTGAAAGTATGCGCAATACCTCCAACTGAATTTCCCCTCATTGTCACCGCACAATGAAAAGCACATCTACAAGAAAGTGCAATATTGGCTTTGCAAGCCCTAACTGGCTTGCTGTGGCCAATTGTTTCTCGTGTTTCTTACCCTCAGAAGGAAGCTGGCATAGACTAACACACACACTCTCTCATGCTGTGTGTTAATGAATGCTGCAGACATAAGGCATCCGTCTTCCAAAGAAAACCTCAAGGGCAGGACCTAAGAAGGATTTGTTTAGCTGGAATTTCTCCATTTTGTCATTTTATCTTCCCCCTCGGATTATTTTTTGTTAAAAATATCGAATGTTGTGTTTTAATAAGATTAGCATTGATCCTGTTGAAGTAGGAAAGTGCATTTCTGTCTGAGCTGACTGCAGAAGCAACCCCTTCCCCCACACTCACCGGCTGAACTTCTTTTGTGTGTATTTGATGCTCATATATTAAAAGCAAGTGTAGGGTATGTTCTCTCATTCTGTTGATTCTTTTAAGACCTGATGAGCACCTTTGTGCTTTCTTCCCCACATCCGCGCCACAACTGGCACCGCCTTCCACCTCCTCCGGAACATCGCCAAACTACGGCACTACCTCACCCCTCACGCGGCTGAAACTCTGGTCCACGCCTTTATCACCTCAAGGCTGGACTATGAGATCTCTCTCCTCGTCGGCCTTCCCGCCACCTCCCTCCACACTGCAGGTCATTCAGAACTCTGCAGCTCGTGTACTGTCCCGCACCAGGACCACATCACTCCCACCCTCGCTCGCCTCCACTGGCTCCTCATCCCCAGAGGATCGATTTCAAGATCCTCATCCTCACCTACAAGGCCATTCACGGCCTTGCTCCCTCCTACCTCTCCGACCTACTATCCCCCTACTTACCTGCCCGTACCCTCCGTTCCTCTGGCTCCGGTCTGCTCCATGTCCCCCGCCCCAACTGCCCTACCATCGGTGGCCGGACCTTCAGCCTCTCAGCCACTAGGCTCTGGAACTCCATCCCCCAGTGCCTTCGCCGCCTCCTCCCTTTCCTCCTTCAAGGCCGGTCTCAAGATCTTTCTCTTCAGCAGTGCCTTCAGCTCCCCTCTCGACTCTCTTCCGCCTCCTCGCTCCCTCCCTTCCCTCCCCTCACCCTGACCATTTCCCTCCTGCTCGGGTCCCGACCCAACTGTCCAGCGCCTTGGTATGTCCTTCCGACGTGAAAGGCGCTCTATAAATGCAATCTTGTTGTTGTTGTGCTCTGACATGCTACCCCCGTGAAGCACCCTATGTAAAATGGAGTCTGTAGCGTATTGGTTAGAATATTCGCTTCACAAGCGGGTTCAATTCCTGGACAGGCAAAACCTTAGGCAAGTTTTGTTACTGCACATGCTTCTGTTTATCTAGCAGTAAGTAG